CCTCCGGATCGACGTTATGATTTCAGCTAACCTTGATAAGAACCGGCCTAAATAATTCACCATACCATCTAAATGGCTAACAGCCTTGACGTCATTCGGCTGTGGTATCTTCTGCACTGCCTTGATTTCCTCGGCATCGATCTCTATTCCCTCGGATGTCCTAACGTGTTCAAGAAAAATCATTTCCGGTTTCCGGAGCTCAACTTGCTCGCGTTTGAGCTTTATGTTCGTTTGAACTCAACGCTGTAAAAGGTGGTACAGACTGAAGTCATGTTCCTGGTCGGTCGAGCCGTAAATCAGCACATCGCCTGCTACACATGTTACACCGTCTAGGTCGTTAACAGTTTGCAGTAACCGCTTCTGAGAAATTTAACATGAGACGTTCAAACCAAGTGGTAAACATAGCCAACGAAAACGCCCAAAGGGTGTGGCAAACGTCGTCAGGAAACTGAACTCCTCGCCTAGGACCGCTGCTCAGAACGCGGATGAGAAATCAACCTTGGAAAAGTACCTCGCCTTAGCTAAACGCGGCATAACATCTGATAAGATTGACAGTGCATAGTGTTCTCCGCCTAAAGCTTCATTCAATGGCCTGGGATTTGTGCACAGACGCAAATCACCGTTCTTTGTCGTAACCATCGCGACTTGTCTAACGCAGTCTGCCGGCTCGTCGACCTTAGCGATTACACCCAATTGCGCTAACTTACTTAATTCGATGACGAGCTCATCATATAAAGCAAACGAAACACTTCTAGCCGGCAGCGCAGTCGGTCGTATTCATGGATCTAATGACAAGTGAACGAAACCTTCAAACCTCCCCAAACCTCAGCTTAACACGAACGGAAACTATTCACTAACATCTGTCTCTGCTCGAAACACATGCACAAAACGAGCATGGTTAAAATGAACAAATTCAAGACACTGGATGGAATCAATGCTGAGAATCGGCGTAACATCTTCCTCCCTGACCACGAAATCCAACTGATGTGATGATCCGTCTTTGGGATTGATCACGTTGATTATGTCTAAATCTTTAGACTGGAGCTTGGAACCGTTTCATATGCGCACGGATCACAGATCAGATTGCACATGAATTCCTGGACAACGCTTCACCAGTAATATGTTGATGGTAGCACCTGTGTCTAACTAGAAACGTACAATTTCATCGCGCATCAATAAACTTGCATAGACGCACTTCATTGGTCCCGTCTACGACACGTTGCTGATTAAATGTTCAGAATCGGAGGGTGTTGTGTCACGATTGAGTGCATTTACTTGGAAAGACTGGCAGCATCGAGCGAAATGATTTCATCTGTCACAGTTGGCGTAAATTCGCCCCCAAGTCGGACATTGATCGTGATGTTTTGGGTGTCGCGCGGCGCAGAATTTGTAAGTTTCTTGTATTTTGGTAATAGGCTTGGCAGTTTTGTCAGGCAAGCTGTGTACGGCACATATCTGCATCGGACGGTAAACGTATTTGCTGGATGTGGCGTGTAGTTGAAGGTTCGCTAGATCATATATCAAGGTATTATCTGAGCGATAAATACCGTTGCCACAACAGCCGCTTGGTGATATTTTCATCATTGATCTCCAGCACGATTCGATTGTGGAAATTACAGGAACGAGCCAGAATGTCCAGATTCGTAACATTGTTCTCGATAGTTTCGTTCGGGCGCCTGATTCGAGTAAAAAAGAGATACCACTGATACGTCGCGTTAATCTGGCCCTCGCAGAAATCACTGAATGTTCGGATGACTGTTTCCAGATCAGCTGGGTCTTCGTCCTTTTTGTCCTGCATCGTTTTCAGCACGCGTCGTGCTTCATCTCTGATCGTATGTCGAAACATCGCCAGGCGATGCGCCAACGGTTGTTCATTCAGATTCACCAGTACGCAGAAATCGATTCCGGATTCTCCAACTACTGGTCAACTTCTGGTCTTCGATCTCCAATGGGGCAGGTGTTGGTACAGCTGGCTGCGCACCAATCAGCAACTGAGCACCGTTCGGCGACCTTACCTTGGTGTTCTCTTACACCATGTTACGGTTTATTCAACTAAACAGACTCATCGAAGATGACAGCATGGTTAGGTTGTAGAGGCCTCACTATACATAAGTAGGTCACTTCCATAACTAATGGCATTGCTGCACTCATAAGATTCTTCCCTTGAATCAGCCAAACAAACTTATCCCAGAGCTGCCAAATGCGAACCAATCAGCGTATAGGTGAAGATGCGTAGGCGTCCAATCATCTGCTTCGTCCGCATGCGACAAACTACCGCTTGCTTCGTGATGTAAATCCGTATAGTTCTTCTGCTTGTATAATCCAATCACAATAAGTAAAACGCTTCCTTACATCTCGTCGGGAAACTTGGAGTGAATCTTTAAACGCTACCCTGTCAGCCGATTTCGATTCTATCATTCTGTTCACCTACTGTCTTCTGCTGCTACACTCCCGAACACCGTAAACACCAATACGTTCTCTCTACCCATAGTTGAGTGCCCCAGGGCCTTAGCATGTTACCCAATCAAGTACGCCAACCGAATTTCTCTAGTAGAATTACTGCAGAAAACGCCCATCATGTGTGAACGATCAAAGTTCACCCTAAATTCAGGTACCGACCTAACCAACACCTGAGAGTACTGAAAGCACTCAGCGAGTACCAAGCTCGCGTTGACATCCGTTAAGAACATGGTGCCACCTTTGGATATTGTAAGCCTCATGTTACCTTGGGGATCTTTAAGTTAGTGGAATTCACCGCTATACCCTGAGAGATGCTTCTCAGTGCATGAATTCAATCAGATGGTTGAAAACCACAAGAATATATCAGCCCTAACAAGCATCAATTTACTCATCTGTTCTCCAGTGGCTAATACATTGTTTCACATCGATCGCACGCAGCCACAAGGTTTTTCTTTGAATCTCACGTCATGTCCTCTTCCACCAGTGCTGGCCACTTAACTTATAACAGTCCCAGACATCAGAGGAACAGTGGGTCGGATAAGTAATACATTACCTAAACGTATGGATTATCCCCTTTATGATGGCACAAACAACCTGATGCTTTACAACGCTCCTACTTTAGCTCATAAAATGCACTTGCTCTGTTGCATTGGTCGCCTTTCATCAGCCTCGTATCCTACTTGTTACGGAAACGTGGTGTAAGATGGGACTGCGGACCATCTTATTGCTGTCAAGATAGGAGAGCTGGTTGCATCCTTTACTGTATGAATAGACTAAGTGCTTCACAATGTAGTAATGAGGAATAATCGTCATCCATTTGGATAACAGTAACGTTGAAATGGTAGAATTCTGGTTGGTTGCATCTAGTTACCACCGAACTCTTGCGCCCATGAAAACGGATTGCTTCAAAATGCGATGAGGCATCATTCTGTAGTTCCTATTCGCTTTAAGGTAATCGGAAGGGATTTCAACTTACCAAACATTTCACAGGTCGAGCACGAAGGCACCGAACTTGAATTACTTGCATGAGGGAGACTAGACACAGCATGTAACATATCCTACACGGACACCTAATACGATTGAGCCCATATTCACGTGTTAGCATGTCTACACAGTAGTGCTTATAATGGTTTTCGGTGGATTCATCGTCAGACCTTTACAACCATAGGGGTACAAGAGCAATGGGCGCCTCGGCACCCTCGCTACAACCGAGGCGATCAGTATTCAGTTGTATCAACCTCTTTGTGTTCACAAAAGAAAGCTCTTTAGCTACCCTGGCCAGATAAAATGGACGATTCGGTGGCCAGGAGCAATGATTTGACTACATCTTTGCCCTAGTTTGCGCTTATTGTGTACGTGTACTGCTGCTTTATGCCCCTGTTTGGCACGCGATCTAATTTCATTTGAACTGATCGGGACCACTGTTACGCCCATTGCTCTTGTACCCATGTGATTGATGACTGACGATGAATTCATCGAAAAAGATTGTTAACCTTCGGTCCCTTGTTCTTGATGATTATATGGGAATTTCGCAGTTAGTGATTATAATGTTGTCAGTTGCAAAATGAATATATCACATACACCTCAAACTCGGTCGGAACACATGGGTAATTTGAGTAGAATAAATGGGGGAAACTGCTACTATGATCTTAGCGATCGAATTGACCAAAGTTCGCTTCAATGCGAGTCACGGTCCACATTGAGTCCAATCACACAAGAAAAGGTACCTTCAGTCAGTAATAAACCTTTGTGCCAAGCGTTGACCGTCGTATCGAGGTGGCTAAAAAGGTAGACGTCCCAACTAAGATCCTAATGATCCCGGGTTCGACGCATGCTAGCTCTTCCTGATGAGATCACATAGGAGCAAAACGAGTCGCAGGGTGTAGTGTTTTCAGATGGGCAACACCCAAGTTACTCCTGCTTTAGCTACGGTACTAGCGATCGAATTGATCAAGGTTCGCTTCAACGCGAGTCACGATCCACATCGAGATTGCGCGTCGCAAGCCAATCACACGACGAGTAACTAGAAATGACCTTCCAATCAGTTAGTTACCGGTGCTACACACCGTCTAATCGTAGTCGAACGAATTGCAACCGTCGTCCATCCTGAAGCTTTGTGAAACGAAACGAATGGCGCAAGAATCAGTGGAAAAGGAATTGCACTTGGTATCGCACAGCAGTCCTGCAATTTCACTTTGCATCTGCTCTATACCTTGTGAACGGATCAGCTTTGCTAGGCCGCATCTCACATAGATGAGAATGTCAATTAAATTAAATTAAACATTCAGGCAGAAGGAGCAAATCGCAGCGTGGACAAACCAGTTCACCGATATAGCACCACTGAGCACTTATCAATCGCTAGTCAGACAACTTATTCGTCCCGCGAAAATGAATTAGAAAATGATCCATTGGTTAAGTACTGTTGATACAGCAAATTGACTAATGGATTCCCATCTAATGATGGATAGGTGCGCTATCTTTACGTAAACCTTGGACGGGAATAAGAAAGTTGTAATAAATAATATCACAGGATGGTTTACCTCAAGGTTATTTGATCCTTCGGCAGTCCCTCCTGAAGGTTTCACATTGGAGGAGGATCCCACAAGGCGATTAAGGATGGCGCTCAAGGTATCCGAGGCCAAATCGCCAGTGAACGAACACTGGGGAACACCGTCGGGTGAGATTTGTTCAAAATGTCCCGGAGATGCAGTTCGGGAGTGATGGGACTGAGAAGACAACCAATTCTGATGTTCGACTGAATCGTTGCCACTTTCCATTACCTCATCAGGCTGCTGCATCCGAGTTGGTGAATTTTTCAACTGGCCAAGTTGAGAGGCTCGAGATCTCTGGGGCAGCGAAGCACTATTAAATTTGACGTGTTGTACGCTTTGGCTGGAACTGTTAGCGTAAAACTCCGTAGCCAAAGGAGGCTCGTGAGAATGCACTGCTCTGATATGATCAACGTGGTCTGCGACAGTGACTGCGGTGGCTTTGCATTCCCGACGAGAACAGCGCCAAAACACTCTCTCACCTAGCCCATCACGAGACTTGGTAAACTTGTAACCATCAATCACCAAACTGCGCTCACCTAAATTTAAAGATTGAAAAGATGTGAGGCATATGGTTGAAATCCCAGTTGTTGACCATCAATGAGGTATGTGAAAGACAAGGATGGATACTGTGTAACCGTGTACCCAAATAACAATCCCAACGAAGTCTGACCAAGGACCAATCACACCTGTGAGCAAGGGTAATTATATGCGTCCAACACAGTTAATTGCGTCGGTTTTGTTGTTAGGAGTGCTTTAGGTTAAACTCGGTGGCCGCGCGAGGACGGTACTTCGAAGCATATTTATGTGAGCATAGTTCATCATCATCATTATCGTGAACACACTTAGCTGAGGGTGTGTAACACACCTCAGCTAATGCGCCGCAGTACACAGCAGACAACATACAAAAATCGCACTACAAAAAATGCAAAACACAATTCAAAACACTTGATGTAGCTTCTTTATTCACGAATGTCCCGCTACTAGAGACAGTAGAATATCTATGCAACCATGTGCACGATAACAGCATTCATTTGGCTATACCCTTACCAAACCTGAAAGAATTACTTCTGAGATGCACCTACAACATTCAGTTTCTTTTCGATGGCATATATTATCGGCAGAATGATGGGGTCGCAATGGGGTCCCCACTCGGACCAGTGCTGGCAGATATTTTGCTTGCCAAACTAGAAACTGAATCACTGGGGCCACTTATAGATTGTTTCGACCATTACTATCGTTATATGGATGACATTTTCTGCATAACCCATAAAGATATCTCACAGGAGGATATATTGGCAGAGTTTAATGGTGCGCACCCGGCGCTTAAGTTCACCTACGAACTTGAACAAGATGGTCAACTCTCATTTCTGGATGTACACCTTAGTAGACGAACTGACGGTTCCATATTAAGGAAGACCAACAGAAAGAAGACGTGGATTGGTCAGTATACAAATTTCAGTAGTTTTATGCCGCTTAAATACAAGCGTAACTTAGTACATTGTCTCACCTCAAGGGCGAGAAAGATATGTTCAGAGGACGCTCTGGAGGATGAGATGAAATCCATCCAGAACACTTGGCGTAAAAATGGCTATCCAGAAAGATTCATTCAGCGCAACATGCAGCCCAAAATAACACCGGTCATTAAGGACGTAGTCGCACAAAAGGCCCTCTTCATCCGCCTTGATTTTAAAGGTGATACAGTTATTGAGCTTTTAACAAGGAAACTGAGGCAATCGATAAGGAACACCTTCCAGGCTGCGGAGTTACGATGCATCTTCGCCACGAACCAGCTAATTCCTGTGTGCAACAAGCACACTGCCGAAGCTGACCTCTTCTCACGTTATCTACCGATTTGAGTGCACTTGTGGGACAACACACATTGGTCGGACGGCTGGTCAACTGTCACGTCGCATTAAGGAACATAGCTCCAAATGGTTGTTGAACGGGGGCACCGGAGTACTTACAAGCGGTATCTTGTCTCATCTGTTCGAATCTGGTCACCAGGTTAACCTCCCGAATGCTTTTACTGTGATTTATCAGGTTCCAATGAGCAAATCGAAAGGTACGCGGTTAAGTATGTTCGCCACTGCAGAGGCCATTGCGATCCGCATATTACAACCCCCGCTGTGTTCACAGAAAAAGTTTGTTCAATCTCTATACCTGCCCTGGCCGAACAACCATCAGCCTAGCCGTCACCCCGACATCGGGTCAGGCATTGTGATTCCGTAACCCTCAATCGATCTGTGTGCATGAGACAGCGGCGAACTATTCGCTGTCTAACCATTGACCGAGTCAGTTCAGAACAAACCCCCGAACCAATCACTATCCATGGCTTTGTAATTTAAGCTTATATGATTGTACCGGCCCATAGATGAATCATTGAAAACAATTGTTTGCCCCAGACTGATGTTCTTGATGAATCACTGAGAATGTTCCATTTGGTACAAGCAATACAATGTTAAAATAAGATTATTAATTTGCTATGAGATCGTCATTATTGGGGAATCTAAAGGAAAGAGGATGGATAAAGAAACACAATACAAACCTCATTGAGGCCGGCTTCTAGTCATGTCAGCAAGTGTGTCCAACCAAGCGTGTTACTCATCCCTCGGACCCTAGCCAGGCAATCGGGTAAAAGCAACCGACGCCAAGTTTGAAGTGAGGGTTTTCATTCCTCTTGAACCAGTCATTGCTTGTTCTCCCCTACTTCTCTTCCATCAAGACCCCGGGCGCGCAAACAACGCACGTCGCGGGAGTTGGTGGGCTGACATACGCAACACGTGGCCCAGCCATCGGAGTGTGATACAATGACGCTGAGCGGTACACTAGCAATTCCTGCACCAAATGCACAACCCCGAACACATTCATTGCTCACGCGGTGCTCCCACCAGACATGAGCTAAGCGGTGAATGCAGCGATGGTCAGTATGTCGGTCGATCTGATGGGCCAGATCTCACAAGCGCATAGAAGGGTTGAACGAACGGCTGCATTGTAAACTCTGTCCTTCAGGGCGAAGGTGATGTCCCGTCGACTCAACAAATGGTGGAGAATGGCAAATGTACCTCAAGCTTTTGCCATACGGTTGGTGACTTCATCGATCACACGGGCGCTAATCTAACTGCCGAGATACTCGAGTTCTTGGACGGCTTGTAGCTGATCACCACCAAAGGTCAGCTAAAGGGTTGGTACCTGCCAATCTTGGAAAAATACTTGGCATTTCGGGGGAGTAAAGCATAGTCCAAAATAATTGACAGCCAGTTCTAATCTGTTCAGTGCTGCTTGGCACGTTAGGGCGCTGTCACATGTGACAGCAATGTCGTCAGCATACTCCAAGTCAAGGAGTCACTCATCAGGAAACGGCTCCATATCTTGTAAGTCATGTTCAGCGAACGCTATTTCCAGGACTTCGTTAACAGTGAAGTTAAACAGGAAAGGTGACAACGGGCGACCTTGTCTCACACCGTTGGAAATATTGAAGGGCGACGAAATTTTGCCACAAACCCTCACCCTGCTCGAACTATGCGCGCACAGCGCTCTGACAATTTGTACATATTTATCGGGCACTCCTTTCTTGATCGGACAGCCCCAAATGGCACACCGACCAACCGAATCGTAGGCATATTTGATGTCGAGGAACACAACAACAATGGGTCGCCAATGAACAGGGCGGTGCTCCAACAGCTGACGCAAAGTGCAGATGCGGTCTACGCAGATTCGATCTCGATGAAACACGGTTTGCTCCTCGTGAACCTGGCTTTCACGAGTGTCAGACAGTCTGTGAAGAATGACAGACGCAAGCAATTTAGAGGCGGTTGAGATCAGACTGATCCCTCCTTGATTGCCGCATTCCGAACGGGAGCCTCCCTTGAAAACTGGGACTATGACGAAGCGGCTCCAGTCGGTTGGAACAGTTTCCTGCTCCCACAGTTTCACTAGTAACTTGTGTAAATCTACAAGAGCAGGTCCGCCGGATTTGAAAAGGGCCGGAGGAATTATGCAATTTCAACGGTCTGATCTCACGTTCGACTTTTGTGCGTGAGGGCCGGCCGAGGGAGTAGGGCGACCAATACCTGGTGGAGAAGCCGACAACTCTGACTGATTGAACTGCTTCTCAACGCTCCAAGCGTTTTGACAAGCTGTGAATCGGCTGTCCAGTCGCGTATGGCTCGCTAACCACAGGGCTCCTGCTGCCCGTTCCCCGTATCCGACGGAATAACACGATGATTTCCAACGGCAGCGGTTGTTTCCATTTCCGATGTACGATGAGACCACGAGACTCCGCGGTCTCTATTTAGGCTAGCACGCAGCCTTTACGAGTCTTATTATGTTCGCTTCCAGCCGGAATACGTTGGCGAGCATGCAGATGTTCCAGAGACTGTGTAGAGGCCCAATACCCAGGTTGGCAATTTGATTTGCCTCATGAAGACATGTCTGCTGATAGTAACGTCCGGTGAATATGCGGTCCAGCGGTGTTCACTGGGCGTTTCCTACTGATGGTCGATGGCCGTCACAAGCGATCTGACGAGCGACAGCGTGACACGTGCACCAGAAGGTGCAGTTGGAAGGCGGCACAAGTTGGAGTCGTGCAAGCGAATTTCCGATAAACCACAGATATCGATAAAAGGGTCTCTAGCGTTACTGCAAGTACTACCTGCTGACCGGTTTGCAACAAAGTGCGAACATTGAAACATGCCGGTCTCAGAGAGGATCGAGGACTCCAAAGTGAAACGGATGAACTGATGCCGTCCGCTTGGTTGAACATGAAGTTGTCTAGTGGACCAGAGCGACGTACTACGGTTGTGTTTGAGTCGAAAGCAGAAGGCGATCGACTATTGAAACTGGTTGGGGGAGGTCCAACAATTGCGGGGTTTAAAACAGGGGAGGGTAAACGTGAAGCTGGAAGGGGACGATAATAATGGAAGAGTGTGAGAGGGGGTCACGAAGACGTGGAGACTTGAGCAGTAGCATCCTAATCCCTATCCGCCTTGTTCGATGAAGTAGATAGGGCACCGTTAATGATCCTTGGCGATGACCAGAGCATCAATTGTTTGAAGTAGGGTTCATTGCGCTATGTGGGCAGAATACTGTCAGATTGCCCCGCCGTGAACAAGTAAACCATTAGGGTTCACAACCTTATCGTAAGGCAGTGGAGTTTTGGCACTGGGATACAGAGGGTCCGTTTTATGGAGTAAGATATAAGCGACCAATTCGCTTGGGGATCGAGTGACGCATACAAACCCCCGAGTCCAACCAAGAAAAGAAGCCGAGACGTTAACTACGGTACTATTCAAATAGGAATCAAAATAAAATATGTATATACCTCGACAATACCCGTTCAGCTTCGAAACACCCGACCTTCATAATGTCCAAAAAGAATGCAAACTGTACTTGCCACCGTACTAGAAGAGTTATGCAATTCAGAGTCCAGGATCGAACTACAACCTTTCTTTTATTAAGTCCGCTAACCATCGGCTCATTGGTTCGCTATACAGCGTATGAAGGAGAACGCGATGGGCTCGGCTCTCGGGGTGGCTTGGCTTCGTCAAACAATGGGGGTGGGGTGGGAGGAACCTGGAGGTGTGTGCCCTTGGAACGGGAGGATGATTCAAGTCTGTGTGGGGAGGCCTGGATGGGTTCCCGTAGTGAGAGGTGAAGTGAAGCCATTGCAACATCGAGATGAGATCACACGTGGGGTACCATCGGTAAGCCAGCGCTCATTAGATGAGCACGCGACCGCTTTTGTAATCCAGTGAGATCCCGACATACGCCTTGCTAAGTACTTAACACTTTTGTCGGTGGGCATATAATCATGGGACATAGAGTGGTTGAACAAATAGGTGGTAGGAGTCCAGAGTTAAATCACTTTATCCATCTAACGAATTGCGTAGTAAATTTACCCTCACTCTAACACCCAACCTGAAGGACCAGGAGATGGAGTCTGCGTGGCCCTTAGGCGTTAGCCAATCTGGCATGAGTTTATCTACACATGCAAAAAGCACCACCGAGCATAGCTCAAAGAATCTTTGAGGCACATAAGCCGTCACACCACGTTAAGGTTCAGTCTCGCTGCAACGGCGGGACCGCGAAACAAACGGTCCACAGACTGCTCCCTGTAAAATTGCAATCAAAGATTCCCCTTACCCCAGATTCGGGTAGTGTGAAAAGCGGAGGCCATTATCATTACGTTGCCAAAGCCAAATACCGCATCCAGCGAGAGTAACGTCTCCAAAATTCCATCTACCCATTTTAGTGATCCATAGAAAACCGTTTCGCACTTGGCTATTCAGCAGAGTCGACGAACGTAACACAAAAGAACAATTAACAAAGCTGTACACTGAAGGGGAGATAATGAACGGAAGCTGTTCTCAAACCTTCACTAAGACGCTCAAACAGACAAGGCTGATAGCGGTGAACCTAAAACGGACCAACAGTTTAACTCACTGCTGTGAAAATGGCCAAGTGAAAGCACTAGAACATAGCCTCGGCCCTCCCTGAACATGCGGAGTACCTCAAACTGTCACTCGACATTCATGAGTACTATCGGGTTAGTTGCGAGTTCCTTCCAAATAAAACAGTCCTCCGATTGCCCGGAAAAGCACTAGATGGTTAATTCATCCCGTCGGGCCTCGTCAGCAATGCGTGTCGGCCCCGTCAGCCTCCAAACGCATGGACACTAGCTACGTGCACTACTAGCCACTTATGCCACTGAACCGCGGGGGACTGCGGCGGAGTGCCATTACTTATTTACATCAAACCCCAAAATCATGACTACTGAGAATTGTTAGGTTGTTTTGTGGGCTAAATGGGTGCAAAATGCAAAAGAAGCATTAGCATCAAACCGGTAAGCAGTACTGACGTTTTGCTGCCGCTCAACCACCCCCGGTCGCACGTGGGCTAACGATACTACGATGGTCGCCCCGCCTCTACGCAGGCTCGAACCCGCGGCGTCAGATTACAAGACAAGCTCGTAACCTTTAGGCTACGGGCCGAAATGCGAACTATGCATACGACAAACCTGATGAAGTCGTCGCACAGTTGGTCAGAAACAAAAGGATTTCTTCAAACTAGTCATAAATAAAGTCCTAATGCACTACTAAGGGTAGGGTACATTGCTGTCAGGAGAGTATTAATGGTGACTTATATGTGGAGCACAAGCTATTAAACCAAAGAAAACTACTGATAATCCAAAGCAGAGGAAATACATTTGAAAACTCACCCTTTCGTGTGACGTCAAAGCTCACACGTACTTGGACGAAATTAGCCTGGTCCCGATGTGTCTCCGACACTGCGGATGCGACCGTGCCTAGCCGTGACAGTGTAGTTAAATCACCATCGTTGGAAGACGCAGATATTGTGACATGACACAGAGACCCATCCATCGGCACAGTAGTACCTTCGGCTGTCGAACGCAGGCTGAGATCCTTCGTTGAATATTAGAATGCGTGCTTTGAGGTGCTGTGTTCCACCGCAGTCGCTCACAGGTTTGTCAACGTCTACTTAGTTTTAGCGGCCCTTACGCATCTGGTAACGGCGCTCATGGTCGGTCCGTGCGCACTCCTCCGTCTCGCAAGTCGAGGCTCATGAGACGTCGCCCGTGCTTTGTCTCGCCTACGCGTCCGGTCGACGTCATGGCCAAGGCGTAGCCCATGCACACGGTCATTTGCGCATGTGATGCGCCTCGCTGACTAACAAGGTCTCTGGACCTGTCTACCTCACGATGACGCTGCGCCGCAGTGCCATTGGGCAAGACATTCGACGGTGTATGCGATATGACTCAGGCCGATTGAAGCGATTGGCGGCCTAACCACCCGGTCTCGATCAAGCGTTGACGAAGTGCAGAGCTCGTCTCTGTTTGATCAGACTGTATAGAAACCCTGCCAAAACGCAGCCGCCGGGGTCATTGCGCACAAAACACAATGCCCGTGGGTAGGACCACCCTTGTTACACCACCCAAATCCCTTGGCTGTGACACGTGAAACGTCGATACGGACGACATTACAGTGCTACAAAATCGTCTGCAGAGTTCCGCAAGACAGCTTCAGTGATGTATTGGCAATGACACCAATTCACTGTGTCCGCCTTAACACTAGAAAGACCGCTCCGCCATTATACCTAAAACGCCCGGGACCGGTCAAAATGACCGCACTGCTATATTTTTTTATCCCAACTTTCAGTTAAGAATTTTTTTACGGAATTTATTAGAAACTAATGTATAGAACATACCTGTAACAGAAAAATGATTGTATTAAGGTTTAGTTTTTTTCAAAAATTGTAAACAATTCCGTATACCTACTCCAATTTGCACTTGAAGCAAGTGCACAGAGCACTTGTTTTGTGATTTGTTACCTTTACAGTAACCAATCTGACACTGCCGACGTTTAATGTTCACACGACTTCCCGACTCCGCTGAGTTGTTCGTCGTAATTCCCGTTGTCACGTATCTTGTGTGATGTATACATGTAAGCAGTTCTTCCGAAAGACCCACCAGATACGACCGGCGAGATATTTTAGTTCCGCAAACACTGTTATAAATTATCCAGGAATTTATGCCAGCCAAATCCAGTAAGTTGAAAAAGACTTGGACTGGCCATCGTCGAGATGATGACTTCACAGTGAGTGCTCTTGTCATTTGGTCGAGTACATCCACACCATACTTTGTGGAGTTGTAAAACAACACAGTCTCGGGTTTCTTCTTTCCAGAGTCTTGAACGGAAGAGTTACTATGCAGGGAACTGAAAACCAAAACACTCTTATTCCTTCTACACTGGTAGGATGTTAATGTGTGCTTATTTTCATTCCTCATCATAAGTGAACTGAACATCTCTCTATTTCTTTGCTTCAAAATCGATGGTACTTCCTTTCTATTAGCTCGAAGTGTTCCCACCATACTTGTGTTTTCCTTGGCCAGCATTTCTCCTAATGCTGCCGATGTAAAGAAGTTGTCACATGTGACATTGTACACCTTTCTAAATAATGGTGACAACAAGCGCAATACCACGCTCTCTGCAAGACTTTCTCCTCTTGACCGAGTTTCGTCCTTCCCGAGATATGGAAATCCATTAACGAGATACTTGCTGTCTACTTCTGCCAGCATCCAAAACTTGATATCGAACTTATCTGGTTTGTTGGGCATGTACTGGAGAAAACGACAACGGGTTTTGGAGGGAAACCATTGCTCATCAACTGTGAAATTCTGCGCAGGCACATAGCATTGTTGAGTTGCGAATGAATGCATTCCACAATTCAGATACCAAAGCAAACTTATCTGTTAGCAGTCTTTCATATCGGGTAGTTCGCATGTCAAAACGGAGGAACCTCATTATTTCTTTGAAGCTGTTCTTGCCAGTTGTCTCCCTGAAAATAGGCAGTCCATATCTATCGCACCACATCATATTCAACGGCATGTTCTTCAGACCCATGAAGCCTCTGATGTAAAGTAGACCAATAAAGGCACGCAGCTCTGGAAGACTTACGCTCCACTGACAACTGACACCTAAAACTCTCTTGGCCTCAGCTTCAGTACATACATGAATATGTTTCAGCATCGGGGGCGTGATTATGATGTCAAAAGTGCTCGATAGCTCACCATATTTCACACATTTCTTAGCATAGGGAGTTGGTCCTGGTCTAGCCTTAAACACATTCTGTGATGAACTTCTACCAACAGCAGATGTTTCGAACTCCCCTGCGATCCACGTGCTACCATCTTTCGATACGTGAAGCTCACTGGGAGATACCGAATCGGTTGATACACTCTCCCTAGGGTCCTCATATGGAGTGTAATTATCAGACGTTTGACTAACAGACACGCTGTGATCTTCTGCTGACTCATGGAAGATGGAGTCCTCATCAACATCATAATCGTTCTCGTCTCCAGACTCGTTGTCATCGATGGTTGTAAGTTCTGGTAAAACCTCAAAGGCTGTTTTCCTCAGAAGTGCCATTGTGTACAAAAATGTCACTGGAATTGGCAAAGTTGAATAGGAACGGAGAGATAGCGCACCCTTGTCGAACTCCACTGGAGACCACAAAGTTAAGCGAAAGCTTGCCATAAGCCTTAACCCTGCCCGAGATCAGACTATAGAGAGCGCGCAGTATGGAGACGAACTTCTCGGATGCACCATTCCTCAGTAGGCAGTGCCACAGTATCGTCCGATCGACAGAATCGAAGGCTGCACGGGTATCCAGGAACACAGCAATCGTTGGCCTTTGATACTCATGGCGGAGCTCGGGGATCTGGCGGAGTGTGAAGATTTGATCGATGTATCCGCGACCAGGACGAAACCCAGTTTGTTCTTCTTGCTGCAACGATTCGCGCGTTGGGGATAGCCTGCGAAGTGTGATGGACACCAGCAGCTTGCAAACGACGGGCGCTAAGCTTATGCCTCTGTGGTTGGAGCAGATTGTGCGCAGACCCTTTTTGAATATGGGAATGATTATCGATTCGCCGCAACATGATAGAACTTTCTCTTTCGACCAAACTTTCGAGAACCAAGCGGTGAGTTCTCGAACCAGCGAAGCGCCGCCATCTTTAAATAGAGCTGGAGGAAGACCATCAGGGCCGGGGACTTTATAACTCTTCATGTGCCGGAGCTCCTGCTCGTTTTCCTGGTAAGAGTGAGCTTCTCTGAGGGTAGACCACTTCGCCCCAGCGCGATTGCCAGAGGTGGCAAATAGAGCTGGAGCCTCTAAAAACTGCCCGCTAAAATGATCTACCCGTCGCTCCAACCGTCGTTGAATATTGATGATTAAGGTGCCTTCCTCTTTGCATTGGGATGCATAACATTGATAACAGCAGTTCTGTTGTATGCCGAAAAGGCAACAGACCAGTGCAGCACTGAAACGTAGGTATGGAGAAAACTCTCTGCGCACACGTGAAGTACAATTAAATTGATAGAGATTCTAATTGCAACCAACCAAATGCAAACGATTGGCCAACGAGTGCTAAATGGAAGTGTGAGTAGGATAAGCGAGTCGAGGGCAAAAACAAAGCCAAGTATTTGTACACGACATTGTTCCCTCTTCTGCTCGTACATATAGAACCACTGCGATCTATTTTAATCTCAGCACCCCCAAGAATTATCATGTGGTATTGTCCGTTAAGTCGTATCGGTAGACAGGGCGGCGTATCTGACCGGAACGTTGTAGTTTGTACCGAGCGTTGTGTTGTAGGTGTGTTCGCATGTTCAATAGCACATTGGGAAAGTGCTGTATGCAGCCGTCTTGCATTCACCTTTGTCCCATCAGCCAACTTGTAAGTTCCTGGCGTACACACAAACTACACATGGATCGGGGGTCCGAACACATTACCTCCTTTCCGGGAACAGGGTAGTCTCACACGAACAAATATCCCTGGAGGACACGTTCTCTAAACGCGTCTCTATTTAGCCTGGTAAACAGCCCGTCTTTCGTATTCTCTGTGACCGGCGGTTCCTTCGGATGTAAAGGCAGCATTTAATCGGGTTCGAAATGTTCGCCCTAGTATTAACTCTGAGGGGGGTCCTTGCCGTTGCAGTATGTGGAGTGGTTCTGTATACCGCCAATGCAGATACCAACGCATCATCCCAGGGTTCTCCCGAAAGCCGAAGGACTTGTAAAGATTCTTTCTAAGTACGATTAAGTCGTTCGATGAGTCCATTCGCTGCAGGATTGTAATGTACAGTTCTCTTGTGTCTGATACCATTGCGGCTTAGGAATTCAGCATACTCATTACTTCGAAACTGTGGGGCGTCATCAGTGAATATTTCTTCTGGCAAACCGTACCATGCAAACAAACAACGGAGCCACTTTATGATGACGGCTGTAGTTACGTCTCCGCATAGGATAGCCTCTGGCCATTTGCTGTAGAAACATGTAGCCACCAGCACGTTTCGGTTTTGCGGAAGTGCATTGGCAAACGGGCACATAATATCGATGGCAAATGTTGCCCATGGCTCCATTGGGTACACCGTAGGTTGGACGGGAGCATTCAGGGGCATCGCACTCTTATCGGATTGTTCACAGGCGTAACATTCCAGAATAACCGACTCGACGCTGGAATTCAACTTCGGTCACCAATAGTATTGTCGTATCCGAGCTTTTGTTCGCACAGTCCCTGGATGACCTTCATGAGCACATGCAACCACCAAAGGAATAAGGGTTGCAGGGACCGCAAACTGCTCGCTTCTAATAATGCCGTTGCTCACAGTAGAAAGCTCATGCCGTAGGGTATAGTATGGAAGTGACTCAGGTTGGATCTTGGTACGGCTGGGCCATGAATTGGATATTCACTCCCGAAGCTTCGCTAGGACAGGGTCTTTGTCAGTGTGCTTTCGTATCAAGTCAAATGTTGTTGAAGATGTTCCGTGTGAGAGTTGCGATATCATTTTTACCTTCTCTA